GAGAAGAGAGTCTGCAAAATAGCTATTGTTGCTAAAACATAAAACAAGTGTACGGTAAGAATAGAGTTGAACATGGAACGGTGCCAGTCCGCGCACACACGCACCCCCGGTGTACTTAAAAAATGCCAACCATATCATTTAATTTCATATTTCTTTTTTCTACTTAAGAGAAAATAACACAAGCTTGAAAAGCAGTAAATATGTAAAGAGAAAATTTGTCAACTGATATTGGAAGATCTGACCTCGGTCACGCATAAATCTCTCTGACAAGGGCTGCAGGGCAAGCCATAATTTCAGAGAGTAAAAGAGAAAATGAAGGGTCTAGCCAGTGTCTTCTCGCAGTTACATAGGTGGATCATTTTAGTTTTCTGATTGTGCTTCTGCACATAATGTAAAAGGGCTGGTGGCAGAGTCGGCTTTCCCATTGTGTGTAAAAAGCGCCTCCACAGAGATGGAAATGGAACGTGGGGCTCCCAGAGTTGCTGTTTCTCACCAGTCGTGGACTTTACAAAGTTGAGGCCCCACAAGCAAACTTTCGCATTGGCAGTTTCCTCTCAAGGATCATTTTCCAAAGTCATTAGTCGTGTTATAGGAGCTTTTGAAATTGCCAACTACATGGTCCTTGCAAGGAAATAAATGATAAGTGTTACTGCAAGAACACCCCGTAACTTATACTTAGGCCTGCCTGTTATGAAGTCAGTCCTCCCCGTTTAAACACATGAAGATCTGTCTTACATCAGACTGAGGCTTAACTGTCCCCGCTTAGTGTCACTTAAAGTCTTGTAGCTAAGGGCTGGGAAAAGGAAGAAAAAAAAAAAAAAAAGCTGTGCCCAGAAGACAGAAGAGGGTCATCTAATTAGTTTATCAAATGCTACTAGTTCTGGAGACTGATTAGCAAAGTGTAATGATCGGAGCAGTTATTGTTCTGTTCATTGTCCCAGAGTACTAGTTACACATAGGAAACTCAACTCCAGCAAAGTGGGCCGGCAGGACTCTGGACTTGGACGAGTTAGTTACAAACGGCATTTCATATGTTGTGAGGGACAGGCAGTTCATCAGCCCTAACGATGTTATTGTGTTCTTCTGAACTCTGCTCTCGCAGCGAAGCATTTGGAAGGCAGACCTAGAATAAAGAGAGACATTCACAAAGCTAACATTTTATATCGAGTACCCTTAGTACCACTTTTAATGTGCTGTAAAATGAGGGGCTTCACTCTTTCCTGAACTGTGTGCAAAAGCAGAGGCAATGACTAGAGGTTGACTTTGTTGCGGTCTGTTTTATGGGCACTGTGCCTGTCCAGCAATGTGATCTTGAAAAAGGTAAACAACAAAGAGTTTAGCAGTGAAAAATAGGCCTAATATAAATACAGTCGAGTCCATGGCAGTTCAGAATTTGAAAAATACGACTGTGGCATTAAATTTTCGGTGGAATTAAACAGAGGAACAGAATATAACCTTTAAGGCAATATATCTGAGACAGAGAAAGGAAAGAATATATCTAACTCTATCGTCTATGTGGCATTCATATAAAGAAAAGCACAGTAGCTTTATTTAATTGAGAAAATGAATCAATTACAATGATGTTGCACCATCAAGTTCTTGTGAAATAGAAGATATCAGTCACTGTGTTGTGTAACAGTGTTAAAAAGTAATTGAGTATCTTAAGCATTTTGAATCAATTTCAGGTACTAGCACTGCTACCTTAATACAAAATTTATGAAGATGATTTCATATAATATGTAGCTTTCAAAGCCGTGTAATAAAACCTGGTAACAACATCTCTCTTTAAGAACCTGGGAAAAACAGTATAGTTATAAGATCATAAAAAAGACTTTGATGTTGTTGTTTCTCTCTGTCTCATAGTAAAGAGAAAGCATTAAAATAGTAAAATTTTAAGTTGTCTTAAACCATGGTTTCTTTTACCCACAGAATAGGGCAAAGTGGAGACCTCTAAGAGCTCACTCGGTTCATGAGGAAATGTTCTCCCCTGAGCTCATTTCACACAACTTATGTGTTGCTGGAAATGATGTTGTACAATTTATTCCTGAATTTATTTTGAAACATCTCACTTAGAATGTTTGCCTCATGTTTTTCCTCAGAGAATGTTGTAATCCCCCTGCCTGTTGGAAATTTGTGAAAAACATTCTCTTTGCCAGAAATGGATTTCTGATTCTTGGTTTGTTACAAGTACCTCTCCTGTTGAAGTAGATATATCTTGAGAAGAATGGAGGATGGGGGAAGAGTATGCATATCTGGAAAAAATAAAAGCAAACTCCAAAGGGATCTCCTATCGTAGGAGAAGTGACCTGGGCCTTTCAAGATTTTTGAAAGGTGGTGTGGCTTGTTACCAAAATCCTTAACCACTCCGGGGTGGTAGTTAACCCATCTTCCTGTTTAAACTAAATCTTTACCATGAGAGTATCACGCAGAAGTACTCATTGACTAGAGGAGGGAGCAGTGATTCAGCATAGCATTAAGTGGGAACTATCCAAGTAGACTACCAGCTAGTCAGCATGGGACAGAGGTTTCAGGGAGTGGTGACCAGGGAGAGCAGGGGTGAGTAGGCACCATGTTCAGTTGGGATAATACACAGGAAAGTGCTTTTAAAACACTCAGGCACTAGGTGAAGGGTCTGCTGATAAGCCATATGGATGCAGGGCGCCTGGGTGGCTCAGTTGGTTAAGCGACTGCCTTCGGCTCAGGTCATGATCCCGGAGTCCCTGGATCGAGTCCCGCATCAGGCTCCCTG